AAAATGTACTAAAATAAGGAGTATATGGTTACTTGTTGATCTTTTACCACATGAAAACTATACGCATGGACATAGCAGCATTTTAAGTAGAGGAATAATAAACTAGAAGTGATAATTTAGATGGTGAGAGACGATTTTCTCATACACTTGGCATTTGGCAACTTTTTCAATGCCTTTCTTTCTATCTGAAACACATCAGAAAGTGTTTAAAGAAGTCCTTAACCATTCCATTTACTGTGGAAGAAAGCCCTTAAGTTGAATGTTTCTCTGTTTGGCAAACGTTTTGTCATTCACATTTGTTCAGTGTTCGGAGCAGCACAGTAATTGTGGATGTGAAGAGATTCATCTGATTTATACTGAAACACTTCTGAACACACCAGAGCTCCAGAGAGATGGACACATATATTGCTTGGCATTATCCATGGCACCATACTAAAATGGACTCTAAAACAATAGTGGGGCACAGCTTTTACTGTCAGGTGGCATGTAGTGATGTCCCGAACGGTTCGCTGCAAATGGTTCACCACGGACTCGTCATTGAGTAAACTTTGACCCTGTACCTCACAGTCAGCAGACACATTCCAGCCAATCAGTAGCAGACCCTCCCTCCCAGACCATCCCACCTCCTGGACAGCTCACTAAGAATGCAGATTCAAAATGGATGCTGTCCAGGAGGTGGGAGTGTCTGGGAGGGAGGGTCTGCTGCTGATTGGCTGCAATGTGTGTGCTGACTGTGAGGTACAGCGAACCGTTCGGGACATCACTAGTGGCATGTTCTTACTGTGTGTCAATTTTATATATTTTAGTTTTCAGTAGTGAATATCCATTTGCTGCACTCATGTCTAAGTCTAAGGGAACCACTCTTTTCTTGGATAGTCCAGTTATATCAGTTAGATGTAATGGAATTATATCAATGTAAGAGGCAGGGATATTGATTTCTAGATACAGATGTAGTGGATATTTGTATGTAAAAGGAGAAAAACAAACATATGTATGTTCTGAAAAATTCAGTAAAAAACTGTGCCCTCTTTTTGAAGACCAAGCCCGTGGTGGATTCTTCTGCTAGTGCCTGAAGGTGGAACTGAACTGGAATATAGTGATGTCGATGAAGGAGAGTATGTTTGTTTCCCCTCTTACCCCAAGTGCAATTATAGAAGCAGATAGGTCACCTTTGAGGCAGGAGCACTGTTAGGTGGCAAAAAAACAGGGGCATCAGCCCAAGTCAATATATTTAACTCCTCTCACATTTATTACCTTAAGTCCCTCTTGAAACCAGACATATACCATGCCCTAGGTCTAACCCTAAACCCTCATATGTTCTGTAAATCCCATTGTGACGCAAAATCTTTGATTAAATACAGAGTATTATTCCACACCTGCTGTATTAACTCTATGCCATGCTGTACCAATCCTTCATCCCAGTGCATTAAAACCCTACTCCCACACTTTGGTTTATCATTAACTCCAGGTATAGTCCCCTATCACAGAGAAGCATTGATTAAATGTTCAAAGTTCTCATTCTGTGCATGAGGATGTTGAACGTCAAAAAGTGACTTGGACTTGATTCTCACTATTGAAGCACCGTCTAGATGCAGGTTTAACACCGCAATTCTAAATTTGCTGTATTTACAAAATGACAATGTTTTAGAGCAAAACATCACTGGCACTGCACACAGACCACTTCATTGAGATGAAATAGCCTGGGTGCCTAAAGTGTCCCTTTAACTTATTTATATATTGGTTATATTTTGGTTATGTTTTGGCAGTGAACATTATGAAAGCTATGATTCTAAACTAGAGATGGGATTAGCATAATGTTTTTAAATTGACACTACATCTATTTTAAAAATTTGTAATTCTAGATTAAAGTTAAGAGTGCCAAATATAACTCTGTGTCAAAACTGTGTTACACCAACAGTGGTGCCAGCATATACTAGACCAGGGATAGGCAACCTTTAGCACTCCTGATGCACTATAATGCTCTTGCACCCATATTGCTGGCAAAGCATCATGGAAGGTGTAGTGCAAAACATCTGGAGTGCCGAAGGTTGCCTATGCCTGTACTAGACCTAAGACAAGGGGTTGTAGGCAATTACAATAATAGTGACGAGCAAATTTAATAAAGAATCTTTTTTTTTTTTCTCAATATGATTCTTCCTTTCCTTGGACACTCCGATATCCTAGGGTAATGGCATATATAGAACGATCTGTCTCTGTTACATGGCTATGCAGACCACTACAAAATATCATTATATGAGCCATATAATATGATCAAAAGATCCAGATGTACGTAGAGTGTTAGATGCCTAATCCAGTTGAGAATTTGTTTTTTCCTATGTGTAAACTCAACTCAAATGTAGAATAGTTAGCAAAATCACATTTAAATGGTTTATACTATACACATGATATTTGATGGTTGACCATGTACAATGTAAACTTTAATGAATTTCTTAATATACATTTTGAAGTGGAAACAAAGTTAATCATCCCATGGGATTATAAGAGTTTAACGTCGATAAAATGAAAGCCATCTAGAGTTGAACATACAAACATACAGTATTTAGACAAATGTGAAATGCAAAATGTTTTAAGTGTTTTCCCCTCACAGGATACACTGAATTCTTTGTTCTTACAGCCTTGATATATAATTGAAAACAGTTTAAGGCGAAACAATTTGGCACTTATATTGATTATTGTGTTTAATTGTGAGTAAGAGGGAAATTTTAGATGACACAACTTGTCAGAATTCTACAACTTGACAGAATGTAAACACAACATGGCAGCTCCATCATAGACTGTCCATATTTGAGATCAAGGCTAATGTAACAAATTGTAATTATAGTGTTATGTTGAAGACAAAGCATAATGTAATATACGAATAAATAAAATGAAGATATTATACCAAAAAAGACACACCGTTATTGTATTTCTTGGTATTTCTGTAACCTTTATTTTTATTATACGTAGACAAATATAAAGCAGGGGTTTACAATCTGTATATTTCCATCTGTGATCTGCCTATTTAACTCCACAGGTGCCATAGTTTTGTTACCAATGGAGTGTTGTATCAAGCACAGAATGTTGAAAACCCTGAAAATCCAGAATTGGATTGATTGGGATAGATACTAGATATAAGATAACGTCAAACTTAAATGTCTAAAGATAAACAGATGGACAATGTATATATGAGTGGAACATGGATAAGTCAAGAGAACAATGAAAACTGGTACATTTCAGTTTTAATTAAAGTTGGTCTATGAATGGCTTTTTCCTGCTTTTCCTACCTTCTTTGTTCATTCAAGCCTGTTTATTTGCACTCTGTTATACCCCCCTCACCTTCAAGTCTAGTATCCTTTGGTTCCTTGCTAACGCCACTCTTTTTTGGAGCCATGCGGTTGCAACTGATTTTTATTTGAGATGTCTGCTTCTTTGGATTTTGTTTTTCTATGCTTTTTTTTTTTTTTTTTTCAGGCAGAGTACAATCCAGCTTTTTATGATTTTTAGCTTAAAACTGAAGAAATGTCTTCTGAAAGACCCCCTGATATGTCACATATCAGAATTCTATTTAGAAGGCCTTCTAAAATGACTTTTACTAATTTCCCTCTAGTGATCAGCTTTTGGACACTCTTAAAGTTCCTACGTGTTGCTCTCTCCATATTATGGATCATGATGTCAACCACAGTAAAAAAAATCTGCCCAAAAATTTTTTATGATCCAATACAAATCCTTGCCTATTAAACAGAGAGGAAATCCAATGGCTTGACATATATGTTAAAAATATGCTGAAGATAATACAGGGGCTCAAATTTATCTTGATTATGAATCATGAAGGCTGCTCCAACAATCACAAGAATATCCAGATACTTTACTTTCCATTATAGCTAACTAAATGAAATTTGATGTCATGTTCAAGATTCCAAAACTATCCAGTACACAAAAAAAAACTGTGAAGGTGTTGAAAGCTGTACCACATAAGGATAACTGACTTTCAGATTAAAAGAGTCAATTCTTAGCTTGTATATGGACTTATCAGATAATGCATATATCTGACATCATATACTGAGACCAGTTATATATATTATTATTGTCAGTGTACATCCAATGTATATTGGTTATACCACAGAACATTACCATTCAATGCAGTGGGAAAATGTTTGATGCAGGTACTTTCCTTCAGGAACGTAAAATCTCAGACACTCTTAAGAATCAGACATTGCAAAATAACAAAACGTCTTATTAATGGAATGTAGCAAAAATAGCCCATTTCATGCGTGCAGCTGCCAATTCAATTTCAAGTGCCCCTTAAACATAATTCTTAGGATTGTTTGAAAACCGATTTGTTGATTGTCTCATCTGCTGGAAAATTATCACATTTTGACTTGGTATAACACTAAACCAATATATATAGTTAAACCAATATATAGTTATTAATATGTAGTTCAGGCTGAAATAATTGAAGTCAAGCTGTTAATAAATATCTTGAGAACTCTGAGATTAAGTCTGGGGATATTGTGTTAGGGTGAAGTTAGATTTAGGCTTAGTTTTAGGATTGAAGTTAAGGTCAGTGTTAAGGTTAGTGTTAGTGATATGGTTAGGGGTAGTGTATTCCAGTATTGTGGCGATAAAGTATTAAGAGAAAGGTAAGTGCTGGGATAGTGTAAGTGTAAAAATGTCCATCTCACCTTATACATACATAACACACCCGTATACTCAAAAAAGGGAAAACATGGGTAAGCACAGTATAAAGGACTGTCAGCTCCTTTGGATCCAAAAACATCATGAATGAGGATAAATATAACATTTAAGAAATGTACCTTTTTATTATTAATATAGCTTGTCTTTGTCCATTATACCAGTTTAAATAAATTCTCCACCTTTCACGTTCCTCTTTTTAAAACCCCCATTTGCAATAAGATTGCCACTAGTGATGTCGTGAACCGTTCGCAAACCTCCCGCGAACGGCTCGCCACGGTTCGCCACAAACCGTTCGCGGCGAGCTCCGGTCAGCTGACACATCCCGGCCAATCTCCAGCAGACCCTCCCTCCCAGACCCTCCCACCTCCTGGACAGCATCCATGTTGAAGGCAGCTTCAACATGGATGCTGTCCAGGAGGTGGGAGGAAGGGTCAGCTGGAGATTGGCCGGGATGTGTCAGCTGACCGGAGTTCGCCACGGCCGCTTGCCACACTTTACCGATTCCTGAACACATAAAAGAAATACACAATATCACTTTTCCTTAATACTGCTAATAATAGTAGCAATACTAATTCAATATCAATTCTTTCTAAATAGTATTCCTTTGATTATAATTGTATTAGTTGATTCAAGTTTTGCAAAGAATTGTGCCACCTAGCACAGAGCTTATATCCGTTTGCATGATGCACGCTGAGATGATTGTACTGGATCCATCACTACTACAAAAATGCAATTAAAATATAAAAATAAAACTTTAATTGGACTTTGTATACTTTGAAACTCATATGTCCTCAATTAATTCCCTTATTTATATATGCACAATATATGGGGAATTTGGAATCATAATATTCCAGCAGCACTTTGGTATTTATGTTCCTTCAGCAAACCAGTTTATTGTCTTAACAAATTCATAAAACAAGTTACAACTTCACTATCTAGGAACTAGGAACTAGGAAATACAGCAAGATGAATGATACCAGTACCCAGACCTTGCATTTACTTTGACCTGCACAGCCTTGGTTCTAGTTTGATGGCTCTCTTACAAGCAGTACATTTTCAGTTAAATGGGAAGTAAAATAGTTTAGGTTTCTATGGAGGGGGAGAATAGTTCATTCCCCATTGCTGTTAAATGCAAACTTTGATATACCCTTATGTTTCAGTCGCAGGTGCAGATCTGCCATTACAAATGCCTTAGCTGGTCAGTGTGTCCTCTAGGTGCTTTTTATGGAGAGAAACATAGAAACATAGAATGTGATGGCAGATAAGAACCATTCGGCCCATCTAGTCTGCCCAATTTTCTAAAAACTTTCATTAGTCCCTAGCCTTATCTTATAGTTAGGATAGCCTTATGCCTATCCCATGCATGCTTAAACTCCTTTACTGTGTTAACCTCTACCACTTCAGCTGGAAGGCTATTCCATGCATCCACTACCCTCTCAGTAAAGTAATACTTCCTGATATTATTTTTAAACCTTTGTCCCTCTAATTTAAGACTATGTCCTCTTGTTGTGGTAGTTTTTCTTCTTTTAAATATAGTCTCCTCCTTTACTGTGTTGATTCCCTTTATGTATTTAAATGTTTCTATCATATCCCCTCTGTCTCGTCTTTCCTCCAAGCTATACATGTTAAGATCCTTTAACCTTTCCTGGTAAGTTTAGTATAACAACAGTTAAGAGAAGGTTTTTTTTTTTTAGTTTTTTTTTTTTTACAACAATACCATACGATGTCTTATGGAACAAAATGGCATTGGATTGCAAAATATATCTTTTCTTTTGTTACATGTGGTTACAAAGAATAAAATTATCCATTGAGACTTGAAGAAAGAAGATTTCACCTACAGGAGAATAAATGGTTTCTTTAAAAAAAGAATAATAAATATAAAGGATTGTGTGCCAAGAGAGTTTATTTATTTATTTTGGTAGTTATGTTTTAAAAGGTCTGGTTACTTTTTGACAAATCCGGATTTTTAAAATTGTAATAGTTAACATGGATACTATTATTGTTCTTCAAGGAGAAATCTAATTTCCAAGTTGGAGTGTACAAGCAGTTTCCATTTTGCAATGCAGCTGGAAATGTATTTGTGTGTTTTTTTTTTTGTTTGTTTGTTTTTTATCTATCTCAGCTGCAGAAAAAGGAAAGTATGAAATCTTGAATTTAACAGACTTTTTCTTTCACCCTATTTTACTATGTAACTATGCAATGCTTAATAATGGACAGCTCTACTAAAATAGTAATATTAAAAACCTCAATACTATACAACAGTCTGATAAAGTACATAAATAGTCAGTGAGACCACCTTACATCCCAGCAGTGAACTAGAGGATTTCTGTCTTTCACAATGTACTAAAAAATAATACTAAAATGTTCGAAGGGACCGTTAACTCTGCTAAATGAGCTGTTTGCAAGATATGATATAGCTGTATTCTAGTAGGTGGAGAACAATGTTGGTTATCATTAAAGTATAGTAGGGACGATGCTTAAATGAGAATGGATTATAATGATGAACTGTGATGAGAACGTGATGACATCTTGAACGTAGGAAATGTGTTGAGAGATGTAGGATGGAAGCGAGGAATAATCTACTTAACAGATGCTTGGTGATTTGAGAAAAATAAACATTGGTCAAGCATATGAACAGCAAGAACTGGATGTATAATAGCTGAGGATTGAGCACTGGTCTTGGCAAAGTGTGAATTTTTTTTTATTTCCATGGGGATCTTGACAATACATTACACGAGGATGAGAGGATGCATGGTCATTAAATGTTGTCCACTCAGGAGAAGACACGGGTTTCAGATTTTTGACATTAACCTCTTGGGTCTACTAACCATTCAGTGCTCACTAGAACTAAATGACAATAAAATTGTTGAATTGAATGTTGAAGCAGAAGATCATTAAGAGGTAGTCAAGTCTTCTGGTGGTAATGCAAGATTCTACACGACATGCACCTATAAGATCAGAGGAGTAGGTGATACATGTAAACCAGATGTGATCTGATTCAAAGGAAAGTGTTTAGCATGAGAAATGGACTGTTTCACAAAGTAGCTCAGAACTGATCACTATATATTGTGTCAACCTTACCAGTGTATTGATCAATAAAGACTTAAAGAGGAGGGGAAAAAAGGGAAGAGATAAAAGAACTGGAAATATGGTAAAAAGATTAATTGAATGCATAAACAAGAAAAATATCTTTAGTAGAGTTGGATAGCGCATTCATTTTAAAGAAGAGTTGAAAGGTGATATTAGACTGGATGCATGTAGTTTTCATCAAGCTTCAGTTTCAGCTGAATAATAAACAAAACGTAAGGTAAATCAATCATGTTCTGTTATGATGGGACCGACACAAAAAAGCAGCAATTCTGTCTCGAAGAAGGAGCATTTAATAGAATAATTTCTTTGCTTATTTTCTAATTGCAACACCTTGAAAACTTTGTCCCACAATTACTATTGTTTTGAGTTGTTATTTATTAAACTTTGAGACAATTGCCAAGTTAATGTATTATTGTATTATCACTATTCATGTTTCTCTTTATTGATGTAAATATCAGTTTTGACCATGTTGAACATTAAGGCCTCAATTTAAGCTTTCAAATTTATTCAATACGGTTAGAAAAACTTTCAAATGATTTGTCTACTGAAGTCACCATTAAAATCAATGGGAATCTTTGTAGATAAATCATTTAGAAAGTTTTTCTAACAGCATTGAATCATTGTGAAAGCTTTTTAAATTGAGGCCTAAATTCTGTACATTTTTAAATAGTTTAGAATATTTCAGTTGTTTTAAGATTTCTGTAGTAGAAAATACCAAATATTTTTATTTCTTTAAACTAAAAATTCTCATTAGAGCGTTAACTGCTTATGCAAAGTAAAACATTAGATAGTCTAAGTGTAGCCCAGACAAAGTCGTTTTCCCCCCCGCATATTTCAGTCCCTATGAGATCATACAGTGATGGCTAACATAGCACAGCTGATGTATTGTGACTTGCACTGAACTCCCGATGGGCCACTATTAGCCATCCTTGCCTTATGGGATTGTTGTTGGCAATTTGTTACCAGTTGAAAACAATTGAAATGCTAAATCACATTTGGCATATTCACTAAATCAAAATTATTAGTTTTTTTTTTTATTATCATATGGTTTTTTTATTATCATATATCTGATGACATTTAGTTTAGGTAGGTGTGTTCCCTAATGATCGCAATGTCATTGATGTTCCTGTCACATAAACCTCAATATTTTAACTTCTATGACTTTCACAAAAGTATTCAGTGATCTTACAGCATTGTTTTCCTCTAAAGATCTAATAGAAGTTGCATGTTATTTTCCCTCCATGTCTTAAATTGTATTTTGTAATTTATAGAGTTATTCACTAAACTAAAAATTCAGAGTAAACTCAAAGTGAAGTTCAGATTTAAGGTCAAAATAGCAGACATTCTCTAAGCCGAAATTCTCTAACTCGGCCATGTTTTCACTTTCACTACTCTGGCCTTAAATTTGAAATTCACTTTGATTTCACTTTAAAATCCCTCTTTAGCAAATATCCCAGCTAGAATTTGGAAGGCCAACTAGGGTTAAGTGGAATTAATTTGGTTTGTAACTGCATTATATTATAGGACTTCAAAATTGTAGTAATGCGTGCAATATTGATGGAGTAATGGACTTAGGAGGAATTAATGCCGACTGATTGAGTCAGTCTATTGATTATATCGGGAGGAAACCTTAAGGCTAAGGACAGTAAGCATTATGTCCAGACACTAAGTGATTGCAAATGTCCAGTAAGTGTACGAGGATGCAAAGATCAATGAGGTGAGCTAGGATTCCAAATCTAATTTATCTATTTTGCCGGGTTGAAAAGTTTAACATTTGCCAGATATCAGTTCTGCTAGAACTGAATGAAATGCTTGAAAAGTATTAAATATAAATTCTTCAAAGCACCAGTAGCAGTAAGACTGCCCCATGGGTAAGAAATAATCCAAATAAAACATTATTAAAATATATATAGCAATTTCTTATTGTGAACTATGTAATCTGATAAAATATTTACACTTGCTAGTTAATTCTTCTGTAAATGCAGTCCTTTTTGGAAGATCAAATCTTTGTTTTTAGAGTGTAACCATTTCTTACACTAAAATTCAGATAGGATTAACATAAATGTATAAAATGTATAACCAAACAAAGATAAATTAAACAATTGCAGAATGTATTTATTTACAGGAATTACGTGGGGCAAATCAGGGGTGGATCCAGAGTTTAATCTCTGTGGAGCCACAGCTAGATTATATTACAGGCAAGAGAAAAAAAATGTGATACATTCTATACACTGCACATTATCGTGGAGTTCCGTAATATGCAAATAAATTGCACTTTGCAGCGTATCTCTCTAATACCCTCAAATATGCTGCACATTACTGCATACCTATATAAAACACTCAAATGTGCTGCAAATTACTGCTGTATAATACACCACTTTACTA